AACGGTGCCAGGATCCTTACTCTGCAGCTAATGAAGGCTGAGGAAGGATTCTGTCAGGCTCAGCCAGACTCAGTCAGTCAGGAGCTTCTTCGCCGCTCCCCATATCCGTAAGATTTTCTTTGTCTTTCTGTCCTAACTCAGATGAGATTGTGGTCACAAGGCCAAGGGGGCATCATGGGACTTTTGCATCGGGAGGTAGAGTGTGTATCGGGGAAGAGGAGCTGACATCTCTGCTTTGCTTCAGGGGCAGACGGTGCAGAAACCAGGCTTGGATGCTGATAGTGTCAACACCGCCTCCTCGGCGCTCTCCTCAGAGGGCAGGAGAGAGTTTATCCTCGAGCCAAGGATGAATGACTATGGTGTGGGAACATAGATTTGGCTTTCCTCAAATACCACATCCCAACACCGTGACAGTTCCACGAAGCTTTTATAGCAAGAGAACAAAGAAAATCCGAAATCAAGATAGTTTTAAACATCCCATGGTGGCAGCATCAGCTGGGGGGGTGGGGGAGGGGGCTCCAGCAACACTGGCAATTCGCTGCGGTAGGCAATAGGGTTTGGACTTTCCAAAAGGATTTACGTGCTGGTCACAAATATGTCAGGTCACACAGAGGTGGGCAACAAATAGCCGTTTAGGGACTGACGATAAATAACTCCAGATCAGCTTGGATCCCAACCTGTGCCATCCCAGGTCTCTGCAGTTCGTCAGCCTTGCAAAATGTTTAAGACAGGCATGGCTCTTTCTGGGAGACTTAGCTTCCATCACATTCTCAGACGTGGAAAGCTGGTGTCCCCATCCTGGAGACGTGCCCTGTGCCGGGTTGGGAGCTCCTCCCCTAGCCAACAACTACACTGATGTAGCAGATATCTTTCCTAGAATTCTTTAAGCCTGTTTGATAAAACAATGATTTGTCCTTTGAAACCTTTATTGTCTCTTGCCCCACAAACCTAACTCTCCCACTCATGCTGGACTGCCACCGAAGAAGCTGAGGGCGTGTTCTGAGTTCTGGAATTCTCTGTGGCTGTAGTGGCTGCTTTGAAAACTAAAGCTAGTGTTCTGAGCCCCCAGACTTTCCCGTATTTATTTGTCATGTAAATTGAGCCACATTCCATATGTTTCTTGCTCATTTCCGGTGTCATCAGCATTCTGAGTCACTTGGCATCCATAAAGCCTTTATGTCCCTGGGTTTCTAAGTCAATCTGAGGCATCCAACATTTGCTAATGATGTGTGCTGTGTGTTCAGTGATGTTGTGTGCTGTGTGTTCAGTGGTATGTGCTCAATGCCAGGCTCTGGGCTACAGTAAAAATAAAGCCTAGAGTCCTCCTCCATGGAGCCTGAGGTGTGAGCCACCCTGACAAGGGCTCCTGGAATTTGAATGGAGAGTGAAGGTGGTCCCAAGGCTCCACAACTGGAAACCTCTGAACCGTGAGCCACAATAAATGTCTGCTCCCTGAAGAGGTTTCCTTTGGATGTTTAAAACAAAGACCAACATATCAATTACCATATAACCCTTAGGAAGCAGGTATCAGTGGCCTGTCATGGGTGGCCAGTTCAGCCATGCTGATTGTTGACTGAGCATGCTCAGTGCCTGTGGACCATCTGTCTATCTGCTGAAGTGATGGCTCCATATCTCCTCATCCTCCATCAGCTTAGCCTGGACCTGTCGTCATGGCAGCAAAAGAGGGAAGAGTGTCATCACTCAAGGCCTCTTCAAAATCACAGCTTATCTGTGTTCATTGGAATCCCAGCATGTCATTGTCCAAGGCTGGTCAAATGACCAAAGCCAGGTTGTTGGAGTCGTTTTGTAATTATCCCTTGTATATAGATATACCTGTTCTCCCAGGTCTGTCTTAGCCCATCATGTCTGCGCCCATTACTTTCACTCCTAGAGTTACATCCATCTGGTGACATTCATACATGCAGAAGTCAGAGGACAACGTGTGGCAGTCAAGTCTCCTCTTATACTAAGTGGGTCCTAGGGATTGAACACCCAGTGAGCCATCTACCAGCGCTCTCTCGCTCTCTCTCTCGCTCTCTCTCTCTCTCTCTTTCTTGCGCACTCGTGCGCGCGCGCACACACACACACACACACACACTTCCTTTCTCATCTGTGCTGTCCTCTGGCTTGGCTGAAGCTATGGATTCTAGATCTGCGCCATCTGGTTACCCTCATAGCAGTTCCACTTTGTTCCTCCTGTTTACTACAACCCCAACAGAGGCACTGAGGCCACCCCACTCTGCTCCCATACGGAAAGGACAGGGTCCCTTCTCAGATCTGTTCGGTCATGCTGCCTTCAGAGCTGATGAAGAGCTGTTGGACCCTTGTTCTCGGTTAGCTGAGTAATCAGGACCATGTGAAGTTTCTCACTGAAGGTGTTGAAGGGACTGCATTTGATGAGTCTATTCCTAAGCAGCTACGGTGTTGGCACAGCCTACTGGTCTACCTGGAACCTCTGGGCATGGAGGACAGTTAAGGAAGGGGCACAGCTGCTTCAGGGTCCAGATGAAGAACGTTTGTGGTGACAGAGACACCTGGTCTTCAGGTGATTTCTAGCCTCTTCCAGACTGCTTGTGGAGGTCTCCAAAGACCTCAGAGAAGATGCTGTCTCTATAAGCAGCTGCCTGCTCTCCGTCCTTCCTGCAAGAGAGCTGCGGTTGTGTGTTGGGCTCTCTCTCGGTGAAAAGAGCTTTGTGGTTTTGAAGCTTGCTCTGGTAGAATGGGGAATGTGATGCCCTGCCCCCTAGAGGTAATTTGAGGAATGACAAGGGCAGAGGTGCCTGGGCTCTGAAGAGAGCTTGGTATTTTCAATCCACAAGTCATGGATGCAGAAACTGAAAGCACAGAGAAACTCATTCTGCAGGTTGCATGGCCTGGGGAATACTAACTCCGTAGCTTTGCCCTGAAGCCTCATTTGTCACCAAGAGCCTTGCCTCGGATTGCTCTGGCCCCAAGTGAACGGTGCAAAGTTATTGGTTGGTGTGTCTGAGGTAAGCAGAGGTCTGGAGCACACTGTGAAGGCCAGTTTAGGAAAGGGACAACAATGTGGCATAAAAGACCAGCTGTCACTCAGGTCTGCACTGGGTGGTCCTTTAACACGGATGAAGGATTGGTTGTTAAGTGGCAGCCAGGGCAGCTGGTAAGGGGGTGCCACCGTGTCTCTCGATCTTATCTGTAGGAGCATGTTGGAGAGATGTGATTGTGGTTGTCGTTGTTGTTGTCTTTACGTAGGTTCTCACTCTGTAACCCAGGATGGCTTCAAACTCACCACATAGCCCAGGCTGACCTCCAGCTCACACACAGTCCTCCCGCGTTAGCCTCCCATGTGCTGGACCGACAGTTGTGCCTTACCAGCCCTGGCGAGAAGAGAGTTTTGACTCCCACAATCCCTCCCGGCTCTGGCATTCAATGCAGGCCTCTGTGGACAGGCTCCGGGAGGGCAGGGAGGACTCTGCTTTACCCTGCCACAGTAACCAAGCACACACCGAGTCCCAGACCACTGGCTTCGACACAGAGCCTCAGGTGACAGTGTCTCTGGAAGATGCAGTACAGTGAGAGGAGTGTTTGAATTCCTCTGTCCTACCCGTTGGTGATTTTTACCGTTCTTGGTTCTCTTTAATGTGTAATTCCTAAAATGATCATCCAAAACCTGGCATGTGTCAGGAACCTCCTCACCTCAAGTTGTCACCGTCTCGGGCAACCCTGCGTGCTGTCCTCTGGACTGTGTTGATGTGAGACATGAGAGTGTCTCTGACCTCTGTCCCCTGCCCACCCCGCGCCACTGTAGATATTCCCTTCCCTAACCCTGTGTAGTTTTTCTGCCCTCCTGTTCTCCCAGTTGCTGGCAAGGGCATAGAGATTCACAGTTTGTAAAGTAGCCTGAAGTCACTAGAAGCTCCAGCTAGTGGGGGAATGTGTTGACAGGATCATGACCTCCACTTTGGAGGTGAGAAAACAGCCCCACAGTGATTTTCCACCATCAGCAGACATTTTGACCTTGAACCCAGGCCACCTATCCTTTCACACATTGCCACGGTAGCCATTGCCTGCACTCACCAGGCCCCTCCTTTCCCTCCATAATAAGGCAGAAGTAGCTAACTCATGGAATGCCGGATCACAGCAATGTTCTGTGTATCATGTCTAAAGGGTAGCCTGTCCATTCCTCGGGGTAACACTGTGAGACAAGTCCAAACCTATTATCCCATTTCACAGACAAGGAAACCAAAGCCTACAGAGGTCAAGTAACCTGTCCAAGGTCACACAGTAGAGGCGAGCTTATCTGGCTACAGCATCCAGCACGTTTCAGACCGCTTTATCCAGTACCTTTCTCAAGCACCATTCACCCATCCATCCATTCTCACCATTAGAGAGACTTGCAGCATAAACAAAACAGGATTCTAGTTCTCCATGAACCTGCGGTGGGACTGAGAGGATGTTTTCTATTGCTGAGGAGCAAATCACCACAAGCATGGCCCCATACCCACGGAGCCCCCTCGCAGGGTGTGGAGGTAGGCACCCAGGTGTGGCTGCCTGGGGTTGGGTTCTGCTCAGGGTCTCATGGGGCTGAAACAAAGGTACCACCTGGGCTGTGCCCTCATCAGCAGAGGGGCACCCTTGCCAAGTTTATGGGCTCCAGCCTGCGTTCACTCATTCACATGCACCTGCATGTTGGCACACTCCATAGCAAGACTTTCGCCAAGGAATGATTGGCCTCCCCTTCTTTCGTAATCAGGGAACAGAGGAGAGCACATTTGCAATGTTTCTTCTCAAAACGCGATTTTAAGGGCATTTGTGTTGGGTGTGTTTTCTAAATTACCGCTTTGTGTGCTTTCTGGAAGCGAGACGCATATGCTTTGGCCTCAGAAAGATTTGCATTTCGGAGCCAGCAGGTTGGCTTCCGATGAGCAGGAGACACCACCACAGCAGAGAAGGGATTGGGGATGTTGTCAATTTGAGGAAGCTCCCTTTGCACACCCTCCCGGGCACTCCTTCCCTTAAAGGGATCAAGAACACAGTCACCTCGTATTTCCTCACAGCCATTCCCGTGGCGTCCCTCGCAAACACTGGCCACTGTGAGCGACTCCAGACTCAGAAACAAATAGAATATGACCTGAAGCTGCAGCCATGACCAGACCGAGTGCTAGGTCCCTGACATGCCAGCTAATCCCCAAGCTTTGTCTCCTCTCGTGAGGATGCGATGTGAGGTCTCCCCCACTGTGGTCATGAGGCAACTGAGGCTCAGAGGGGTTAGATCATACAGCTGGAAATCTCTGAGATGGCTTCGAACCCCCAGCCTGTGCCTCACACATTTGAAACTGAATCTGCTATGACCCTCATAGACGCATGTTTTGAATGCTTGTTCCCCTCCCCCCCCCCGGCTGATGGCACAGCTTGGAGGCTGCAGAGTCTTCAGGAAGTGGAGTCTGTGTGGAGGTAGAAGTGGGTTAGTAGGGATGAACCTCTGAGGATTCGAGCCCCTGCTTCCAGCCTTGCTCTTTCTGCTTCCTAGACCAAGATATGAGGAGCTTCAAGCACCATGAACTTTAACCTACTTTCCCCATCGTGGTGGACTAATGCCATGTGATAGCATGAGCCAATTTTAATCTTGTTTCATTCAGGTCTCATGGTCACATGATGCAAATACAGCTAGCACACCATCCCAGGTGATAAAAGTGGCCCAGGCAGCCTTTGTCAATGTTTGTCTCCTCCCTGGTGGGAATTCCGGCCAGATGACAATGCAGGTTTCCTCACCTGTATTCTCTGGAAGCCCCAGTCCTCTCGCCTCTCTCTCTGAGAAGCAACCGGGATACTGTGTCCTGGCTGCTATTACTTCTAAAGCTTTGTCTGCACCAGAAAGGTTTGGGGGAAATGGCAAAAGCGGTGGGGACCCTGTTCTCCACCAGCTCTGTGACTCCAGGGGCCCCTCTCCCCACCTCCTGCAGATTCCCATCTGATAGGAGGGACAGCGTCTTTGTCTTTAGTGCTGGCCAACGCAAGGAGACACTTGGCATTGAAAGAATGGCAAAATGCAGTTGTCCCTTCTACTCAGAGCAGAGCCGTCAGAAGCTCACGGTGGCGGCTCACATCTGAGGCCACCACGCACTGAACGCTGGAGCCACGTGTTTGGGGCTGGCGGATAATGCAGTAATGAATGCTCCGCATCCCAAGAGCGTGTTTATCTTCAAAGGCGCTCACCTCTCGTGTCCTAATGCACATTGATGTTTTCCTGGCCTCTGAAAGGCTCCGTCGCAAATGTACGCTCAAAACCATTTTTTGCTGATTGAACTAAAAGCACGCTGACTTTGTTTTTTTGGGTTTTCCCCCCATCTTTGGGTTAAAGGAAATATTTAAAAGGCTTTTCTGAAGAATGCAGCCTTGTCTACTGTAGAGTGCTCGGGTTCGCCATCACAGAGACCCAGGCTGCAGGGCCTCACACGGTCCTGCATTCCTGTCCCTAAACATTTAAGCCATCCCTGCGCTTTGGCAACACTGGGGCCTCCTCTCAAAGGCTGGGATGAAAGCAGCTGGGCCTGAGGTCTTTAATCAAGACTCAGTCAGAAAATAAAAGGAAGTGACATTCCCCTCGGTACCCTGAAAGGGTTGGACTTCTTGATCAAGAGCGTTTTAGGAATAGACTGTCCAGGTTATTGAAGTGTGATGCCAGCCTCCGTGTACTGACACACACCACTGCATGCTAGCTGCAGAGAAAAATGTGTGTGTACGTGAATGTGTGACCACAAATGGGATGCGTGTGGGCACATGTGTATTTGCATATGTGTGTATACATACACACACACACACACATATATGGAAGGTTACTCTTACCTTCCCACCAAAATACTCTGTCCCCAGAGTAAATGTGTAGGGTGAAGATGGAGATCTCTGAGGCTAGTAAGAGCTAATTCCCCTACAGTTTCTTATGTGAGAGGTGCAGTGTTTCACCAAACCTTTGTGACTCTTCCAAAACACCCTTCACACTGTCTTCCTGGCTCAGGGACATGCGATCGGCAGCACCGGATTTCCCCCTCTGAAATCTTTTCCTTCATCTCTCTACTTCCCATTCCCCCCGCCACTCAGCAGTCAGACCTGACCACCCTTCACTGGTACACTCTGATGAAGTCTCTCCAACCACGTGAGGCTTTGGATTGGTCCAAAAGGTCAAGGCTGATGCTGGACAGATCCTACCATAGCACCCCCTATAGGTCACTGTTGGAATCAGGCCCCACAGCTCCAGCCCAGCCCTTGCAAGCATAGCATTCCAACATTCCCTTAAGGCAGGATTTAAAAGGCTTTTCTGAAGAATGAAGCTCTGTCTCATGTAGGACTTCTCTGCTACCCCTAGCCAGATCCAAGCTCTTCTCCCTAGGCCCCTCCACTGTAGGTAGACTCTATAAGTCTAGCTAATAGGAGTGAGGGGAACTCGGTAGTCTCCGCAGCTCCGCTCCAACCTCAGACATGGCTCTTGACTCTGCGGTTCCTGAAGCACCTTGGGTCTGAATTAGTTGCTTCACACATTGCTGAGACAAAATACCCTGCAAAGGCAACTCAGGGAAAGGGGGGTTTATTACAGCTCACGGTTTGAGGAATATAGTCCGTCGTAGTAGGGAGGGTATGTTGGCAGAGGTGTGAGGCGGCTGGGCACATGGCATCCGTGTCAGGAAGCAGAGAGAAAGAGATGGATGCTGGTGCTCAGCCCAGAACCCCAGCCCAAGGATGGTGCTGCCACAGTTTAGGATGGATCTTTCTCCCTCAACTAACCCGTCACAGAAACTCCCTCTCAGAATGCCCAGAGGCTTATCTCTGGTGATTCTAAACCCAGATGATGGCAAATATTATTAGGCATCACACTTTGTTTGGTCCAATCTCTTGTACACCTTGAAGCCTCTTGAAGCTTCCAGGTCAGGTCTGATCAATGAAGGTGGATGGAGTGGTCCCAACTTGGGTCTCCCAGCACATCCTGCACTTTTTGCACCTTCTTCGGGCGCGCCTCCTCCTTCTACCCCAACACTGCAAAGAGGAACCATGGCTCATGGAGGGAGATGGACTTTGCCTAGTCACCTGGTCAGACCCACGCCACTCTCCACTGTCTTCCACACTGTTTATAGCATCATGATGTCATACCCAGCCTCCCCTTTTCACTCACTGGAGAGAGACACTCTGAGAAAGTGTTAACAGAGGTTTCTGTCCTGCCCGGTCCCAAAGAAACACACAGAGGCTTACATTATTATAAACTGGTTGGCACATTAGCTCAGGCTTCTTATTATCTCTTACATGCTACATTAAGAAGACTTATCCATCTCGTAGATTCATTCAGTGAGAATCCTTTGCCCTCGTATTAACCAGCTTGCTGTCACTGTGACGACATCCCTGCAATGAACTTACAAAGGGGTTTATTTGGCCATGGTTTTAGAGGTTTCCATCCGTGGCTATTTAACCTTGTCGCCTTGGGCCTGTGGCAGCACAGTACATTGTGGAGGGAGCACTTGGTGGAGAAAGCCTATCTGCCTCATGACTGCTCTAAAGCAGGAGAGCATGAGTAAGATACCCCTGATTTCCCCTTTGAAGGCATGCCCACCCATGACCTAACTTCCCCCTGTAAGGTCCATTCTCCTAAAGATTCAATCAGCTCCTAATAGCACCATGGTCCAGTGATAACCCTCCTCACAGAAGGCTTGAGGGATTTGAGATTTACACCATAGCTCCCCTTGCATGGGTACTTTCCCATACAGTGCTCTTGGATGTGCCAGTGTATAAGAGAGAGACATCTGCAACCTCACAGCTCACACAGTCTAAATGGCAAGAGCATCTAAGGCTCTAGGGCCAAAATCAAGGCATCATGGTTGCATAGGATGGGGTGGGGCTGAAAGGCTGAACACTTCAGTGCACACCCACGGCTCTGGGCTTCCTCCCTGGAACTGTGGAAATAAAGCAAAAGGGATCCAAGTACTGACTGGACCATGCTCCTCTAGGCACTCTAAGGAAGGATTTATCCAGCTTCCAGCAGCCTCTGTTAAGTTTTGGCTCATAAGTCCCTCTGTCCCTTCTTCCTTCACTTGGCCGTCTCCCATGGGTGTCTCTGTATCCTCTCACATTCTGTCTCTTCTTAGAACCCCCTCTTGGATATAAGGCTTTGTGGTGGTTTGAATGAAAACAGTCCCCATAGGCTCATAGGGAGTGGTACTATTAGGAGGTGTAGCCTTCTTGGAGTAGGTGTGGCCTTATTGGGTTAATTGTGTCACTGGGGACAGGCTTTGAGGTCTCAGATGCTCAAGCCAGGCCCAGTGTCACTCTCCCTTCCTGCTGCCTGCAGATCCAGATGTAGAACTCTCAGTTCCTCTCCAGCACTATGTCTGCCTGCTTGCCTCCAGGCTTCCCACCATGCTGATAATAGACTAAATCTCTGAACTATAAGCTATCCCATATTAAATATTTTCCTTTATAAGAGTTGCCATGGTCATGGTGTCTCTTCACAGCAATAGAAACCCTAACTAAAACAGATATACTATAAGCCAGTTCATTTAACCTTGACTTTTACCCTATTGACATAGAGACCCTTTCTCCGAAGCTTCTGAGTTCTGAATTTGGGAGGGAACACTTCCCCATTGACAACAGTGGCCTTCATACTATTTTTCTGGGTCAAGATGGCAGTGGAAATGAGGCCCAAGAAAGCTGTGTGTCTGGAGCATCCTTACTGGGCTTGGCCAAGCCAAGATAAATTGAGTCATGGCCCCAACGTGGGAACCCTTCCTCCATACCTATTCTACCTGGTAGAAGTACAGGGATAGACATACCAGCCACCCACCATCCTTTGCCCATTCTCTGGTCAAAAACAAGAGCAAGCTGGGCCTCTTGGCTGTCAGAGCAGAGGCCAGAGGGTAGCCATGCCATAGATTCTCTACTTAACCAGCATCTCTACAGTCAACCCTACAGACCAAGAGGATCGGCAACTGGTCCCTACCCACAGGCTGTGTGTGGTGAGCAGGGATCCTTGGAGAGCCTGGCTTATTCTATCTTCCAAACACTCATGTTGCCACTCCTAATGGGTCACTTTTGATTCCCTATGAGGAAGCAGTGTTCCTCTCTCCTGTTTTGCTCTGGCCCCCACAATACAAGCAGCAACACAGCATG